ATGTGTTTGTTCACATATGTGCTCTCATCACGCGTGTGCTCTCATGTTCGTGCTCGCTCAGAACAGTGTTCTCACCTGTGCGCTCTCATGTGTGTTTTCTCATAATGTATGTGCTCTCATATGTGCGCTCTCATGTATGTGCTCCTTTGTGTGCGCTGTCATAGGTGTCCTCTCATGTACATACTCTCATATGTGTGCTTTCATGTGCTTGCTCTCATATATGTGCTCGCATGTGTGTGCTAAAGTCAGAGTGCGGAAATTCAATTATTCACCCTTGCCTTGTTCTACTTATATATATAACGCTGCTTGAGGTCTCTTGATAGTCTCTTTTGTCCCTGGACATTCTTTTGGCTCTTCCATTGCCAGGACTTTCTGGAACTGCTTTCGAACGAGGCGCGGGAGGTTATATTCCCTGTGCATAACTCAGGATCAGGGGCAACTGGGGGTGAGTCAGCTGAGCACAGGGAAATTCACGTGTGCGACGTTCTTCTTTTGTCAGGGAGAAAGGGCATGATGGACCTGTGACATAGTCACAGTGTGTTTTTTTTCTCTTTCCAGCAGCGCCTCGGTCCTTTAAGTGGACCATGTTTGGTAGTCCGTTCATTGGTCAAGTGGTCAACCGTTCGGCCCCCCCCATGACCCACAGCCACTGAACAAAAAGGGCCTCATGATTCATGCATGTTGCAATGCCTCATGCTTGGTGTAGGGTCTTTCGACTGCCAACCTTGAGGCTCTACCCACCAAGTGTGGGACCTCCGAGCTTCCTTCGTTGATGGAACGCGCCGCGCAGAGCCAGTTGCTGAGCCGAACGGACGCTTCCAAAGTGCCGGAGAAGGTGCCGACGTTCAGAACTGCAGCAGAGTTGTGCCAAGTTCGCCATCGGTTCGCTTCTTTCCATCCCCGTGGAGAGCTGGGCACCCGTGCCCATCCGTCTTTCTTTGGGCAGGAAAAGCAAGGGAAGAGACTTTCCGGACTCAGTCGGGGCTCCATGAGGCGGTTGTTCCGCGCGGAGTCGTGCCGAGTCAGTGTTTCTTGGCATGTTTGGGGCTGCCACCATGTGCTGGTTTTCAAGACACGTGCCATGCGCCCACATTCCAGATGGGACATTTGCTAGAACATGTGTCGTGGAGATGGAGTGAGGTGTGGTATCGTCAAATCAGCAGTTGGCCCCCCAGCACCGCAGGAAGACGAAGCGAAGCGAAAAGCTGCGTCGCACCATCCAGGACCTTTTGTTGCTGTGTTTTGGGCTCTCCGTCCTCCGAAAATTGTCCGTGCCTGCAGTTTCCGACTCCAGCCTTCTCTGCCCACCGAACCCTCCGTCGTGTTTGAACCCCTCCCGTCGAGCGCCCCACGAGCGCGCCGAACGAGCCGCCGCGCCCAGCCCCGCCGCCCGACAGGAGAGCCAAGCGCGCCGCGAGGCCGTGGTACGGCTCTTCTACGCGCTGGATGCCGACGGCGATGGGCGCTTGAAGCTGGCGGAGATGGAGCGCTTCGCGGCGCTGTGCGACTTCTCTGGAGACTGGCAAGTCGAGTACGAGGCCAGCGACCTCGCGCCCCGCCGGGTACCGGGTCATTTCGAAAGGGTTGCGTGGACATGTTGGAATTAGGACCTGAAAGTTTTGGGAACACATCCAGGTAAGTCCTGCAACTACAACCAGGAGGCAATGGCCTTTTTTGGGAATCGGACAGTGTTCCCTGCAGCGGGTCCCTGCACGTGCGGGTCTCGAATCTGCATGTCATTGTCCGATAAACCTGAGGATGACGTGCCGGATGCCGGATGCCGGATGCGATTGGCCAGGTGATGTGTGAAGTCCTGAAAATCGATGCGGACGCTTGCCAGCACCGTAGCCGTAGCACTTGTGGCACAGAGCCCGGAGCCCGTCAGAACGACCAACGCCAAGCGATGTCACTCTGGAATGATGTGGAGATGGTTTGATGCTTGTTTCAGTAGATGTCATTTATATATTATCATATAATAAATATATCAGGTATATATCACACACCTACAGTACTATATATATAATATCTTCCCTCCTTTCATCCTCCTAGAGCCAGCCTTGGTCCTTCAACGTTCCGCCGCATCATATAAAAAGCGGCTCCTTCTGCCAGGAACGAGGAGCGGACTTGCCGGACTTTGAGCGCCTGGTGCTTTGGATGAAGCAGAGAGTGCGATCTCGGCCGAGGGTTGCAGTGTTGCCGTGCTGCACGAATCACCTGAATTACAAAAAATACACAGAGAGAGAGAGAGAGAGAGAGATGTATATGTATATATATATATATATATCTATAAATTGACATTATATCCAATGATTTCAGGTTGAAAGGGCATTGGGGATCTCGTTTGTTAGACTCGTGGGAAGCCGAGGTGAGCAATGAAAAGAGCCACGCTTATTGCACAGACCAGGACGCTGGGAAAACAGCTGGGACACCGCTGCCTAGTTGGTACGGCAAGTTCATTTGTTACCGCTGTGGGGAACATGTGGAAAACCATGGAAAGAACAGAGAACACACTCGTTTTGTGGAGAACATGATTCATATTTGCACAGAACACATCCGGGCTTTGAGACGGTGAAGGAGCTGCAAGAGATGGTTGCCGAGATGACCTCCAGGAGACCCAAGAAACCACGAGAAACCACGAGACGTCTGGAGGACTCTGCTACTGCGTTTTGGATGAAAAAGCCATGACAAGCCCAAGTCGTCCGACGGGCAAGTGCGATGTGCCCGATTTTTTTCAGCGCCATGTGAGCAGTCGGTGGCAAAAAGCCTAGCACAGGGCCAGGGTCCAGGGTGTTCAAGAATTATACCAGGACCCTCCTGTCGGGGTGTCCTGGCTGGACTACCCCACACTACCATCCTAGGCTTCCAGACAGGGCACCCCGACAGGAGGGTCCTGGTATAAGTGCATTTTTGTTCTGCTTTGTTGGCGGACGGTCGGACTCCAGGCATGACCAGATCATTTCGAACCAGGCGGCCATCCGAATCCAGGCAAACACCAGAGGCTTCCTGGCCCGGCAGCGCACTGTGCCTTGGAGTCCAGCCGTTCGAGTCCACCAGTGCAGGGGAGAGAACGTTCTCAGTGTGGGTTGTAGATGTGGGGGCCATGTCACAATGAGTGGGTGGGTTCTCATTGGGCCACCGGAGGCCACGCGGCAGGATGGTGCATTGCTAGGCCACGGCATGTCAGAACTCAAACACCTTTTCTTTATTGACCTTGATCCTGGAAAGAGCTTTGCTTGTGGACTTGCGCTGCTTAGACGACGGACCTGACTCAACACCTAGAAGAGGTCTCCCCAGGCGGGCTTGGAGGTGCATTCGAACCGCTTGAAGAGGATTCCACGACTGTACCCTCGGGTCGTTGCTTTGAGAGACAGGTCGAACCCTGAGGCGCTGAGACAGGTCGATGAGATTGAAGAGACAGAAGAGGACGAATTGCCCGAACCACCCGAGCCTCCGTGGAGTGTCTTTGACGCACATGTTTGGCTTCGACTTTGAAGGGCGAGGGAGAGAGTGAGAGTGAGTGAGACGAGAGAGACAGAGAGTGAGAGTGAGAGAGTGAGAGAGTGAGAGAGCGAGTGAGTGAGTTTCAACCATTTCAATGTTAAGATGTCTCCACTACCTCTGACTCCGGATCCTTTCAAACCGGCTCGCTGGCTGCTCCGTTTGTGTCGGAGTGGTAGCGAGGTGAAAGTGATGATTGAGCCGAAGGAAGTGGAAAATACACCTTCTGCTGTGCCTTGCTGAAGGAGTCACGGAATGACTTTCCATGGGGTTTTGCTGTCTCTTGACAGCTTACGCGGAACTTCTTGCAGAGTACGGAACTAAAGACAGGTGAACCGTCAGAAGAGTCAATCATTTGAAATGAAGATTGTATCTTGACGCACCCACCTAAAGGAGTTTGAACAAATGGAACCTCAAGGAGTTGAAAAAAGGGATGAAGGCTTCAGAGGGGTTGATTCAAGTTGATCGCCTTATGCTACTGAAGCTCGTGTCAATAGCTGGGCCACCAGATTCCTCTGCACCTGGTCGTGGCCGAGGATTGCCGTCGAAAGCCCAACGTTGAAGAGCTGGCTCCAACACCTGACTTGGCTAAGCCAGAGGTGTGAAGCCAAGGGCCTGTGTCAATCAAAAGTGAACGAGAGCCTCCTGGAGATGTGTTGCGGTAACTTGAGGACAGTGAGTTGGTGCTTCCGAAGGCTGACCTGAGGGAGATGTGCTTTGAAGGGATGTTCAGCAACCTCTTTTTGACAAGAGGAGGTGCAGTAGAAACGATTTCTGCCCTGCTAAAGGCTGCACGGACAGGTCTAAGAGGTCTAAAGGGTGCGGGTTTGCGGGCGGTTTTCGAGCGCGGTTTGACGCCCAATTCCATCGCAATTCTTCCACCCCATTGACTGACATACATCACTTTAGGATAGTTTAGGTGGTACGTGTGACTCATAGGTCTTCAGGATATATCTGCATCCAGGCCTTCACCATGAGATAGAGAGTTCATTCACAAAGTGGTTAGCTAGTGATGGACCGCCTGTCAGACAAAAACAACTTGCAGTTTTGAGGTTCATGTTTGCCAACTTTAAGTCACAGACTGGCATTCTTCGACGGAGGTGTGTCGGCGGCAGAAGCTCCAAACTGCAGACACATGGTTGTGGAATGTTTTTGACATGAAGAGGTGGGAGGTTTCTGTGAAAGCTCGGGCCCAAAATGGCCGGGTTCCGCCGTGCGGTGAACTTCAAGAAGCTTCATGACTCAAAGGGAGAGGCAGATGAGCAAGCGAAACACGGCAAATGCCAAGCCCTCCAAGTTGACAGCCCGCAGCTGACAGTTGACAACCCATTCGATTCAACTTGATGTTGTTTGCACTCTTGGGGCGCCAAGCGGGCTCCTTAGAAGCGGGGATGCAGTGGGATGGATGGCCATCGATGGCTTTATGGTTTGATGCAGCAAGTTCAACCAAGAAGAAACAAAAAACTCAGATGCCTAGGCATCAGTGCAAACTGGACATGGAATTGTATGTTTCTTCCATGCGCCCAGCTTAGCTCATCCGCACGGCATGGCAGCCGCAGCGGTGCTGTGTCCCGCCGATGCCGCCCGCGGCCAGCCCCGTGCGTCGCCGGTCTCCGCGCTCGAGGCGCGGCTCGAATGAGAAGAGATGAGAAGAGATGTAACTCAAGCTGGTCAGTGGAAGAAACGGAGGATGAACTCTTCTGCTCGTGGATGGATGCCTTGGGAACTTACATGAGGTTTCAAGAGACCTTGGGAGGCCAGATTGGAGTGAAGCTTTGGAGGCCTTGCCTGTAGGGAGCCCTAGCGGCACCGTGTGCTCTGAGGGAACATTACCAGCGCCGACCAGACGGGTTTTTCCGACTCATGTCGATGGACGTCGAAGAGAATCCACGGCTGATCCACTGTCATGCGAACGAAGCACGAGTACTTGAAGTCCCCAATTTGGATGGGTAGGGCTAGCTTTTTTTGCATGTTGTGTTGGCAAATCATCCAAGATTGACTAGAGGCACCAGCGCAAGATTGGGACAGGGCCTCAGTTTCACAGCCGTTTTGGCACTGGCACTGCGATCCAAACACACTGGAACAGGTTGCAGTATCCATGTGTTTCCAACGACGTGGCATTTTCCGACCATCACGAAGGATGATTAGCTAACACATATGTGGGTGTTTAGGTTCTTAGAGACTTTAGAGAAGGCACCAGAAAAGGGGACCGGCCAGGGCTTCTAGGTGGCTTGGCAGTTTAAGGTTGAGGAAGTCAACCTCGCCACAGAGGGTTTGACGGAGGCCGTGGAGGCCATCAACGGGAGGCCGGATGGGAGGACGTGGACCGCTGTTTGGAAGGTGCCTGGAGTGCCTGACCCAGGTTTTCAAGAGCTGGCTTCACTTGAGGCAAAGCGCTTGAGGCAAAGCTTCTCCCGATCTTTGGGGAAGCCTCAAGAACCACAGGTCGGATGCATTTGCCAACTGAAAAGCTTGCCAGGTCCAGACCCTTGCGAATTGGTACGCCGTGTGCAGGCTTTGAGGCGCGGGGGCGGAGGCCCAGGCAGGTGCGGAACGGTGAAAAAAAGGCGCCGGCCGAGGACATTCGAGGAGGTTGAACCAGGTTGAACCAGGTTGAACCTGTGAATCCCCTTGCAAGAATGACATGTGCAGATCTGCAGCCTGTCCAGGCACCCTACTTTGCACTGCGGCAACTGGGCATTCAGAACTTTGAACAGACCTTCGTGGTGGACGTCGCGCCCCATGTTTCTCGGCAGGGCATGGTGTTGGTCCACACCAGTCTCTCCGTCATAGGAGAGACTGGCGGGGAGTGTCTCTCCGGGCACGTGGTTGGTCGGTCTCGGCTTTGAGAGACTGAATCCCGGACCTTGAGTGCCACCAGTAGTGCCACCGAACCTGCAGGCTACGAAGTTCTCTCGGAACCTGCAGCATGCAAGAGTGCCCAGACAGGGTGGGAGCAGGCAGCTGAAAGGTCTGAGAGGCAGGCCATGAAGCAACACCAGCAGCATGGTATGGTCATATCAAGTGTTCCAGCAGCAGAATGTGTAGCAAATTGCTGTGGCCATTTGATATTAAAGTTCTGGCTGCACTATCAACTACAGATGGTGATGCACATCGCCGGCAGCCAAATCAGCAGACTTCACATGGAGCTGCGGACTTCCTGCCGAGGCCAAAACAGCTTGGCTTGGTCAGGACAAGGTGCCATGGGCGCACCAGCGGCTGCATTCCAGTGTTGTCAGAAATCAAACTTTGAGGCGGCATTCTTTGCAAGAGATGCAAGGGATTATCGTTGAGTCCTATCTGGATTGTTTCTCAGGGTCGTAGCAGGCCGCGTTTGCACATTCACAAGCTCTTTTTGAAGGTGACCTTTTGTACGAAAGAAAAGGGAGGGGAAGGAAGAGACAATGGAGGGGACCGAAAGGCAGAAACATCAGGAAACAAGCAAGAGGGACGGACATGAATCTTCATGTGAAGATTAAACAACTTGGGGTTGGCGATGTCATGTGAAAACGCACATGTCATGTACTGTACACCCATTATATTGATAATGACATGACATGACATGACATTTGCTTGGTGGACTGTTAGTTGGGCAACTGGGACGGGCTCTTCTTGGCAGAGAGTCCGTTCATGCAATGAACACCGGAAACAGGCAAGAGAGGAGTGACGAAGACATCTCCCATGCTTCACTTCAACCTACAACACAGGCTTGAGTATCAAGATTTAAGGGAAGGTAAGGAACACACTTCAGAAGGTCCAAACCCCCGAAAATCCCTGGTAGGTTGACCTCTCTAGTGAGACTCTCGTTGACTTGGTCTGTTCTGTTCATGTTTGGGTCCCCGCGTGCCGACGCTGTCCATCCCAGGGCGACTTGTTGCGGCTGGATCTCACCGTGCTGCCGGCAGTGAATGTGCTGATTGCAGGCTGGCCTAAAGGACAAAGCACATGTGAAGAATTTGGGCACATTCTGCTAGTCATTGTGAATGTGAAGAATTTGGACGAATTCTGCCACTTGAACTCTTCTTTGAGTCGCTTTTGATGAACTGTGAAACCAGTGGCAGGGCCACCTTGCCCACCATGGTCCTGGGCCGGTCATCGTAAAGGGGAGAAAGATCCCAGAGCAGAAGTCTTTTGGTCACGGCCTCAATGTCTCCCAGACACTGACACCAGCAAGCCGTCCTTGAACTGCTTGCTCGTTAATTGGATTTCATTTGGGTTGACCTAGTTCTTGGGTTGGGGTTAGTTACGTTCTGCTTCGTGCGTTTTTTCATAGGTTCTGATAGACCCAAAATGATATCGCTCATCCAGCTTGGACCAGGCGGGTCATCGACCTCATCGCTGAGCTGGTGCGCCGCCCCGGCGACGATGCACTGAGGTCGGCCCGGTCCGGGGCTCGTGGACCAACCTCACCAGGAGTGGAAGGGCTTCTCATCCCAACCTCATCCCAACTGGGAGTTGAAGGGCTTCTCCTGTTGGGGTCCAGGATGGTCAAGGCCCCTCAGAGATCGGATTTTTTCTGACTGGAGCTCCGTTGACTTGTGTAGGTGTTTTGTGCTCGAGAACGTGGAGGGCATCAAATTCGAAGATCATCATGGCCGTCGAGGTATTGATGAGGTGCTCAGGCCAGCGGCCAGCATGTCCCAGCGAAGTGGCGACTAAGCTAGTTGGCCTAGTTGCCTCAACAGATGGGCAGAAGGGTTGATCGTCACCGATTTTCATTCTCAGAGAATGCCAAGAGCGGGCTTCCTCACCTAGTGAATGTCCGTTCATGTGGCTTGATTGACGGGCTTCGGCTTAGTTCGCAATTTTTTTGTGAAGGCGTTTGCGGACATCCGTGCCAGCCTTCAAGATCAGGACTGCTCAGCAATGAGCTCTGCAGATGCATGGACGGCTCTGTACGCCTCCGGCAATAAAGCATGCCAGCTCACTCTCAACCTCAGCCATAGATGAACGTTTGCCCTTTTTGCTAGCAAGCAGAGCTTGAGATTGTAGGGAACTGATCACTTGAAGGGAGCCACCATTGCTGCAGGATCTATGACATGAACACCCAGGACTGTCTGTGTGATATTAATACCGATCTCTGTTGAGTGGAGCCTGCAGTCGACCAGCGACTAGTGCTTCCCACGCCTTTTTTTTGTTCCTTTTTCGTACGCAAGGACTATTCACTTCCTCAGAACCGGGCGCGTGTCTACATCGTAGGGGTGCACAAGTCCCTCGAAGTGTCCGGGTGACTCAGCCAGCTCGAAGAAAGCTTGTAATAGGTTAGCCTTTTAGATTCTCAACTGGGCCTTCCCAAGGACCGAGCCTTCCAGCGGACCGGCTTCAGTCCAACCGGGCGCGCGCGAACCGCGGCCCCAGGCGTGGACGATCCTTTTGCACCCCGTGGGGGCCACCCGGATGCCGTTCCGGGCGACGGCCCTCTCGCAACGGTGAGGCGGTGCAGGACAACTCGGATCATGAGTCCATGCCTATTGAGTTAAATAGGATATGATTCATATGTTTCGAGATGTCATGCAGCCGGCTTAATTCAGCGCCACAAACTTGGCTTCAAGGCTCAAGCATCGGCCATGCCCCAAGTTACAGGCTCGGCGCCTTCCTTTTCTGGAAACACCATGCAGACGGATCAAGCAGATGGATCATTCAAGTTGACTCAAGTTGAGAATTCATAGATGGCTGAGAGACCATGTTCAAACCAGCACGGACCGACGCTATGCCAACGCATCCTCACATCATCTCACATCCTCACAGACATCCTCAGGACTGGCTGGTTCCAAAGGACAAAGTTGCCGACCAATTCCTGCAGGCCGAGTTTCGGTTCCAATCGCCAACGACGAGGGTTATGCAAATAGTTATGCTTCCATGTCCGGCTCTTGATATATATATATATATATATTAACAACACAAACAGATATCAGGTGCATTTTATTATATCTTCCTTTTTGTATGTTCAATCAGGATTTGTGGCGAAGCCCAACAAACGATTCGTGGCCAGGACTTGACATTTCCACAAGGGTTGGACCCTGCAAACACAGTCCGTGTCCCATCGAACTCAGGTACCAGAGCGATTGAGAGAGAAGAAGCGGAAGTGGGATGAAGCCCTGGCTGGGCCACTCAGACAAATTGCCAGACGCGACACAGAAGTGCCAGACGCTGCTCACAAGGAGTCAGTGCCCTTTCGACCAGGGTCCCTGCGTGGTTGTCGTCTCTCAACGGCAATTGGCCAATTCTTCAAGTAAAGCACTCAAGGGTTGGAGGCCATCGCTACTAGGTTCCCTTTTCATCATGCTCCTTTTGAATTGTTCTGTTTTGGCTATTAGGCCCATGGCCAAGGCTGAGCGTGCGCCAGCTGGCTGGAGAATCGCTTGCGCGGATGCCAAGTCGAGTGTGGCCCCACGAGCTACGACAGGGGCGCTACAAGGGACCGGGGCATGTACGCAGAACCCCCAGAAACAGCATTTCATCACTTGTATTCTCATTCATTCATTGAGCCATCTCCTTTTCTTCAAGTTTCCGAGCGTATGAACACCTGCCAAAACCAGCGATGACCACCTTATAAAACGGCAAAGTATGCTGAAACCTAAGAAAAAACACATGAAAAAAGCGATAGGACATGATAGGCCCCCCCTCCAAAAAGCGCGAACACTTGTTGAGCGATGGCTTGGCTGGCCGGAACCCGATGACCGCGCGTTTTTGAGGCGCCGACATCGACCGCCCAGTGGAGAGCAGCTTCGCACAGCTGCGCTTCGAAGCTTGGCCAACGGCGTTCAAGGAAATCTGCCGGAAACCAATGGTTTTCACTCCAGAACTATCAGTATGGGCTGGGTTTCCCGTAGACTTTTCCCTTCCACCAATTCTGGGAGTGGGCTTTCGATGCTCGAGTGTTTGCCGCTGATGTGGCGCAAGTGCTGCCACCGGACGAGACGCGGCGCGAGTTGGGCGATTCGAGGATGGCGTCCTGGCCACCATCACGACACATTTCAGAAGTCGGGAAGCCAAGACAAGCGAGCGTATCATCTGGGTGTACATTGTTTTGGGAAACCCTCCTGGCCCTGGTTGGGTAGACGGTAGACGAATCTATTTTCCTTCCAGGCGATCGAACTGGGAGGTCTCCCAAATTTAATACACACCTCTATGTCGGTGGCCTCTCAACATGATGCCGGCATGGTAGCAAGGCGGATGGTAGCAAGGTGGACTTTCCTCCTGCGGAGATCGTGCGTCATCAAAGGATGAAGGCGCCAGTGTCTTCGGGAAAAAGCTGTGAAACTTGGGGGATGGCAGCAGTCAGACTTGTCACCTCACAACGCTTGGGGGAGCATGCTGAGCAGGTGCAATTCTGGGGCAACAGTGTTGCATATTCCGTTGGCCATGGTCCTGTATGGTGCCATGTAGGGCCTGTTGAGCCCCAAAGGCGTTGCATTCAGACCATTCCCATTCCGTTCTTGTTTTCCTTTGAAGATGTTTCATTCGGTGGACTAATGGGAAAGGCTCAAGCGCTCCGAGCGCGCTCCCTGCGCGCTGTGGCATGGTCTCTCCAGACTACGCAGGGGTCGGATGGTCGAGGCGATGGAGGATCCGATCGTGAAGGCCCTGCAGAGGAGCAGGGTTCATCAAGCACTGAAGGAGGCGCGTGCCTCCTTGGCAGAGCCTTCCAGGCCGTACACTCCATTGGACCGCTCACTCTTTCAACGTCCCAATGAAGGCAGCGACTCCAGACCAACATCCAGCTATGGAGTGGATCAAGTGGCCTTTGTGCGCGATACCTTTGGCACTCGCCCAGATTCAGCTCGATCCAGCCGCTCGGGAGCTCGATCCAGGCCCGACACCATCACCGAGGAAGGCGCCGAGGTCCTGCGGCTCGACGAGGCGCGCGCTTGGCGCCGAGTGTAGCCCTTCCAAGTCTCATCCCAGAAGCAAGTTCTCTCTCTCTCTCTCTCGCTCTTATTTTCGTTTTGGTCTTGAGTATTGTTTATTTTATCCTTCTACCATTATGGTTATTTTCTTTTCGGATCATGGTCGTTGAATGTGGTTCATCATCATAAACAATAAATATTTGGACCACTCCAGCTCTTGACAACGTGCCGTTTCGCTCACAGGAAGCGGCGAACAGCAGTGGGAGCGAAGAGCTCACGCCCGTCGTGGCGACGCCCTCGCCACCGAACGCCCGCAGCGCCCCCGGCAGCGCTCCGGAGCGCAGCGCGCCGAGCAGCGCCCCAAAGCCTCCCCGACCACCTGGCTATTCCAGTGGCTCACTGAGATCAGGCGGAATTGTGAGGGATGATCAAGTGTCACGCGAAACCAGCAAAACCAACACACCTCATAATGTATATGGTGATGCGATTGTCGTTTTATGAGTTGGGCACGATGTGGAAGGTTGCCTCCTTCCCAAGACCTTAGACCATGCACATCAAGCCAGACTGCCTTGCGACAAGACTGCCTTGCCACCTTGCTCCATTCCGAACTTCCACCACATACCAAAAGCTCCCTCATCGCCACAGGTTATCCGGAAGCGCCCGAGAAGTCTCCGGCCAAGCGCCTCTCCTCGTCGTCGCCTCGCCTGCGCCTGGCCAGCTTGGACGGCTCGCCCCACCGGCAGCGCTCCCTGTCCCCAGCGGCACGGCTGGCGGCGCTGGAGCCGGCGGCACGGCCGACCCGCTTGGGGCGAGTCGAGGGGCGAGTCACTGTGTTCCATTCGATGTGCACGCAAGAATTTCACAGTCAAACATGTAAAGCTACGAGCTCTGTACTTTCGTTGATTCAGCGGAAGTGGGATTTGTGGCAGTTGGTGGCATTGCGTGAGGCGTGAGGCTGTAGGGGACACACTGTTTAGGATGTTCTTCATCGACACTGGCCGGCCTGTGTAGCTTAGAAACGACGGTCATTCAAAATGAAGCACCTAGTATCTTTGACCTTAAGCCCAACTCACTCTACAACAGAAGGACCTCGGTTCTTTTTTCCTCTGTGCTGCACCCTGCACAAATGCGGGTCCAGCAGCTGTATCACCCTTCCTCAGCTTTGTAGCCAGACGGTGTCGAGAGAGAGAGAGAGAGAGATAGGATAGGATAGGATAGGATAGGATAGGATTAGGATAGGATTAGGATAGAATAGGATAGATAGATAGATAGATAGATAGATAGACAAATAGATAGATAGATAGACAGACAGATATACAGATACACAAGAAAACTTGGCAGCCTTGGCATTTGTGTCCTTGTTTTACTGTCCAAACCTCACTTCCAAAAATCGGTCCGTCCAGATCCGCTTAGGCCAATCCCTGCAAGATCGCCCTGGGCCAGTTGAAGTCCCTGAAGGCCTCCAAAGACACGAGGCCCTCCTTCGAAGACTTCCAAGCCTTGTCCGAGCGGATCTTGGCGCTGGCCAAGGAGATGAAGGACCGAGGGCGTGGCGTGGCGCCACACCTTGCCGCAACGGGGGAACTGTTCTGGGGTTTGTTGAGGGGGGTTGGGTGTGTTTTGCTGTTGATTCAAGTGGTCCCTGTTTTGTGACGCATCAAACGCCTGAACTGCTCAAAATAGCGAGGGATTGTCTGGACAAACAACCATAGTAATCCTCATACCTACTGTCCAGCTACGGGTTCGAGTGTTCCATGTCGCAGGCGGGCGCGGACACGTCGCGGGCGCCGGAGCTGCTGCGAGAGATTATGGGCCTCATGGACCTCAAGGAGCTCAAGGAGTGGCAGGAGTTCTGAAGGAAAACACATCGAAAAGACCGCCGTCGAGGACCCAACACATCTTAGATCTAAGACTTGAGAGACAGGGGCTATTGAAGTGAGACAGGAGAGGGTGCTTCATGGTGCGCTGTAGTTCTTCTTACAATGAATTGGATTCTCTATCCGATATGAACCACAATCCTCATAATTATAGGACACTGAGCACCGTTGCAGGAGTCGAAATACCTCTTCAAGCTGGCACGTTGCGCGCTGACCTTCTTGCCCATGGAGGCTGCTACGAAAGGTGTGCCAGTCTCTGGTGTGCAAGCTGCGTGGCTTGGTACTTGAACTTCCATTTCAAGACCCCAAAGACATGCAGGTTGAACCACTATAAAAGGAAACCCGAGTAAGGGGATGTAAGGGATGTGGTAGTTCACGGGCTCCGCTACGGACTCCGCTATGGGGGCTTGATTGGCACACAGCACCTTTGGGTTCTTTCTTTACTTTGCTTTTGGGGTCCCGGCCCTGGAGCTTGGGTTTTCTTGTTTGCAATGGATGGGGCCAAGCGAAGCGCAAGTTTGGTATGACACGGCATGATACGGCATGATGATTGTGGAAGTGCGGCCTAGCAGCGGTGAACGTGTGACAACAGGTATCACAACATCGCTCAAGTATTGTTCAAGTACTCGCAGAAGGACACTCAGAGCACGTCCGACTCAAATCAGATTGAATCAGTAGAACCCTGTGAAATCGAAGTTGCACCCAAGCTACATGGGCTTGCGGCTTGATTGGTTTCTTGCACATGTTCATTAGCAGCTTTACCAGCGCAGGAAGGACATGATGCCGAGTTCCTATCGGAGAAGCTCGTTGAGCCCCTCATCGAGGTGCTGCACCTGATGGCTTGCACAGATGAGCTCTCAAGAAAATTGTTTGTTCTTTTGCGACAAGTTTCCTTAATCTTCCCCCCTCATTCTCTAAGCCTACTGCAGCATCAGAGCTGATGAGGTGCTAGAGTCTCGATCGGACAGCTGTTCATCAACAGATCTCATGGTCTACATTGCTCCCAGGTTGCAGTTTGAGTTTCGTGCTGCCTTGAACTTGATAGGGCAAAAGATGGGTGCTTAAAATTCTGCAAACCGTCTTTTCTAAGCTGTGCCTGCGAACCGTGAGGTTGGGACTTTGAAGAACGTGTCCAACGACTCGGCGACTCAAAAGTTTTTAGCCCAGCGTGGAGCAGCAGAGCACCCTTTGTCCAGTCAGTTTTGGGTTTATTTTCTTATCTTATCTGGTTGGGGTTGTTGGGGTTTATGTCCCTTATCTTTGTCCAGTAAGTTGGGGTCGCTTTTTTTCTCCTTCTCGGTGAGGGGTGATCCAGAGGGTAACATTCGTTTGTCGTTGGTCTCACGACGCAGCTGTTCAGCGGTTTGGATCCACTTGGTTCGGTTCGGCCGGGCTCGAAGGGGATCACCTTGGGCTCGAAGTTTGATGCGAAGCCTTTGAATCCACCATGCGGCTGGCTTCAAAGGCTTGGCACAGGCAACATGAAACCAGCATAATTAGTGGACATTTAGTGGAAGATTTCGGATGGTGGTTTGGTGGTTCAAAGTGGGTATAACATCTCAACTCATGTTGATGGCAATTTGATGGCAACCGAGCCTCAAACCAGTTAAGGTAAGTGCTCTCTTCAGGCTCCTGGACGTGAATGTGTTGACTGGAAATCCCAAAGAGGTGCCACTGCTCATCCAGGTCACTGCCAGCCTGAGGAACCTGGCGAGTAGAGAGTACAAGCAGTTCCTGAGCGACGAACGGCTGAATGCTTTGACCAACATCTTGGTGCCTTGTCTCTCGAAGGGCGTTCTACGCCCTATTATTCAGGCGTTCTCCGCATGTGAGCGGCCCCGGAGGCTAAGCAGTAACAATCCAGGAGAAGGCGCAATGAACACTTAGCATATTGTGATTAAGACGGTCCCCGAAGAGGCCATTTGTTTGGCACCAGAGTTGTTCCCCCTTTCGGTCTCTCAAAGACGGAAGGCTCCCCCAAAAAGAAGGTCGACAAGCCCTGATCTAGCACTGAGAGTTAACGAGAGCCTTGTGCTAGGGTAGACTGATCTAATTGGGCGGCCACTGGTCTAATTAGCTCACGACACCCTGGAGCAGCCGCTGCACTTCTCGGCCATGGCACGGATCATCTTGCTCCCTGGAACCGTGGCGGACCTTTTTCGGGGCATCCGTGTGTTGTTTTTTTTTCTCCTCCCCGGGGACCGGAAGAGCGTTTTGCATGACGTGCTCTACCAACAGGTGGCTGTCCCCTTCCGG